AATATGTTTATCTGTCTTATTTATGAACATCCAGATTTATTCCAACTTTCTCAATAATATACATATGTTGGGTTTTTACTGAACAAAGTCTATAATCTTTAGATACAGAGAATACGTGGTTGTGGTTGTGGTTGTTGTGGTGGTCGTTATGTGCCGTCGAGTTGCTTGCAACTCATAGTGACCCTATGTACAACAGCCTTAAACCCTGCTCTATCCCTTGCCAATCTTATTGTCTCCGACACGCCTATCCCCATTACCCTAGTCACTGAATTAATCTATCTCATCGAGGGTCTTCCTCTCCTGTGCTGTCTCTTCACCCTCCCAAGCATGTCCCTCTCCAAGGACTGATCCCGCTTTGCAACATGTCCAAAGTATGTCAGACAAAGCTTCAAAATCCTTGCCTCAAAGGAGTAGCCTGGCCTCACCCTCTCCAGGAAGAACTTGTTTGTTCTCCTAGCAGTCCATGGTATATTCAGTACTCTTCTCCAGCACTACAGCTCAAAGGCATCAACTCTCCTTCTGTCATCCCTAGACATTGTCCAGCTCTCTGAAGCATAGCAAGTAAAGGCAAAGACCATGGCCTGTATCAGGTGTACCTTGGTCTCCAGACTGACATCATTGCTCCTCTGTACCTCAGAGAGGTCTCCGACAGCAGAATTTCCCAATACAATTAGTCTTTTAATTTCCTGTTTGCTGGAACTAAGAGTGTTGATTGTAGAGCCAAGCAAACGGAAGTTGTCAACAATCTCAATCTCTTCACATCTATCATGATGCTGCCAATTGGCCCTGTGGTGAGAAAATTTGTTTTCTTGATGTTGAGCTTCAATCCATATTGAAGGCTACAATCATTGACATTTTGCAGCAGTGCTTCAGGACCTCAGTTTCAGTAAACTGGGTTCTGTCATCTGCAAAACTCAGATTGTTGGTAAGTCTACCGCTAATCCTGATGCTACATTTCTCCTCATAGAGCCCATGTTCCCGGATAATCTGTTCCACATATAGATTGAAAATATATGGAGATAGGACACATCCTTGACGCACACCCTTCCTAATTTTAAACCATGTAGTGTTTCCTTGCTCTCTTCTGATGACTGCCTCCTGGTCCAAGTAAAAGTTTCATATAAGCACAATCAAATATTCTGGGATTCCCATTCTTCTCAAAGTCAGCCAGAGTTTGTTGTGATCTGCACAGTCAAATATCTTTATTAAACATATATTCTTCAGTCAGGAAATCAAAAGATTAATTGCATTGGGGAAAATCTGCTATCAAGGACCTCTCCAGAGTACTGAAAAGCAAAGATGTCAGTCTAAAGACTAAGGTGGACCTAATCCAGGCCATTGTCTTCACAAATACTTGCTAGGCATCAGAGAGCTGGACAATGACTAAGGATGAAAGAATAAGAATTGATGTCTTTGAGTTGTGGTGCTGGAGAAGAGTCTTGAATATACCATGAACTGCCAAGAAAACAAATAGGTCTGTCTTGGAGAGGATGAAACCAAGTATCTCTTTGGAGGCTAGGATTTTGAAGCTCTGTCTCACATACTTTGGGAACATGGCCAGAAGGGACTCGTTCTTGGAGAAGAACATCATTCTCAGAAGGGTAGAAAGACTGTGCAGTAGAAGACGACTCTGGATGAGACAGACTGACCCCAGTAACTAGGGCAATGGGAGTTGGTGTGTCAGAATTAGTGAGACTGGCTCAGGACAGGGCAGGCTTCAGAGCTGCTGTACGTAAGGTCGCTGTGGGTCACAGGTGACTCAACAGCACATAACAACAACAACCTATTAGTCAGATAATGTACCATTACTTTTTTTATTAAATCAACCTTATGTTAAACTGACCAGAAATATTACCAATAACAGAGTCCAGATCACTCTCTTATAAATAGGTTCTGGTATTCCCATTTCTGTAAAAAATATTTGGACATATTTGAAGAGTTGTTTTAAAAACAAACTTTGTACATGGCGTAATATTTTCCTTATTGTTGTTAGGTGTCATCAAGTAGACTGTGACCCACAGCAATGCTAAGAACAACAGATCAGAACCTCGTCCTATCATGCACCGTCACACTCTCTACCTTGCCAGAGCCCACTCTCCTGGTCACAGTGTCAACCCGTGCTGGTGAGTGTCTTCCTCTCTTTTGCTGTCCCTCCACCTACCCAGTATGAGGTCGTTTTCCAGTGGAACCCTCCTGACAACATGCCCCAAATAGAAGAGATGAAGTTTCACCACTCTTGGCGCTAAACAGCATTCTAGTTGCACTTCCTCCAAAATAGATTTGTTTGTTCTTTTTGGAAGTACATGGTACATTTTCATCAGAATGACCTTATTCAAGAACAGACTAGAAATCTCTTTTTTTCCTTCTAGCACATTATGATTTTCCTCCTAATTCTTGAGATGATGCAAGTGTAGAAGGTCAAGGACTGCAGCCTTCAATATGGACTGAAGTTCAACATCAAGAGAACAAAGATTCTCACCACTGAGCCGAGTGACAGCATCATGACAGATGATGAAGAGAGTGAGTGAGATTGTTAACAGCTTCAGCTTATTTGGCTCCACAATCAGCACTCTTGGTACCAGGAGCCAGAAAATCAAAAGATGAATAGCATTTTGAAAGCCTACTGTCAGGGACCTCTTCAGAGTACTGAAGAGCAATGATGTTGAAAAGATTGAAATTAAAATAGTCCCTATAGTTCTCAGCTGAATTAAACTCAAGTTTCTATAGTTCTCAGCTAAGTTAAACTCAGGAATTTTTAAAGCCCCACACCCAGGTATCCAGGGCAACAGTATTCAAGAATAGCTAGCAGAAAGGCAGAGCAAACAAGCAAAGATCGTTTCTCAACTGATAACCCATGTGCCTTTGTTTCCCGACTGATAACCAATGTATCTTGTGCTTTTCCACTGCCCTAGAGTTTGAACTCATTGTATACTTAAGAATTTGTGACACCACCATATAGTTAAAGATCTATCTAACTGCTACATGTGCTACATGACTGCCACAAGTGTTACGTGCAAAAATGCTGTGTAAACCCTGAGCGAACACTGAACCAATGAATTCAAACTGTGCTTTCATCACCCAATGAGAAGCTGATACTCAGTTGTATCCCCCTAAAGTGTATAAAAAAACCCAACTTTGTCTGCTCTCGGTCGGCTCCTCTATCTCTTGCCAGAGATAAGAGTCAGCCCGGAGCTCCGCAATAAACCTCTTATCTCTTGCTGTTGCATCAAGCCAGTGTCTTGGAGTCTTGGGTCTTCGCGGTCCACTCGGGACAGAACAGGACCAGCGGTTCGGGGGTCCTTCAATGTCAGTATGGAGACTGAGCTGCACCTGACCCAGGCCATCGTCTCTGCAATCACTGGCTACACATCAGAAAGCTGGAGAATTGATGCCTTTGAGTTGTGGTGCTGGAGAAGAGTACTGAATATACCATGAGCTGATAAAGAGAACAATCAAGTCTGTCTTAGAAAGGGTGAACCCAGGCTGCTGCTTGGAGGCAAGGATTCTGAAGTTTCATCTTACATACTCTGGGCATGTTGCAAGGAGGGGCCAGTCCTTGGAGAAGGGCATCATGCTTGGAAAGGTGGAGGGACAGTACAAGAGAGGAAGACCCTGGATGAGATGGATTGACCCAGTGACTGGGGTAACGAGGGTAGGTGTGCCAGAGGCAACTAGATTGGCTCAAGATAGAGCAGGGTTCAAGGCTGTTGTACAAAGGGTCGCTGTGAGTGGCGAGTGACTCAATGGCATATAACAACAACTACAGCTGTAAATTTTAACAATTTCCATTATATTTTTACTAACTCTGTATTTATCTCCTCCAATGCTGTTTACAACCTCAGAAACCTAATGGAGGGTCAGCTATGAGTCAGCAACGAGTCGCTTAGTGATCTTCTAAAAATTTCATTTATTAAAAGCACATTTTCCCCCTTTTCTAAATAGTCTTTAATCCACACCCAACTCCTGAGAAGGCTTTAGAATTGGGTTATTTTTATACCAGTCTCTCCGTGTTTTCCAATTGCTGAACTTTGTTTGCTAGGAAAAAGGGGAAAAAAAGAACAATCAAGAAAAGAATACATCGAGTAACTTCACCTATTTGGGATGGATGGGTTCTTTTTCTAAAAAAAAAATTATTTTAATAATTTTAATCAACATTTACAGATATTTTGGATTTCCATTCATTCATTGTTGCACTTTTCTCCCTGCCTACCCCTCCCCCCCCCCCCCCCCCAGTTTGCTCCTCTCTTTGAAAAAGCAAAAGAAAAATTCTTGCTTCGGTATACAATCCCCCCGCACCCCTCCCACCATCCCAGGTACACTCCACTATGCACCCTTAATTCTGGACTCTTGTGATAACTATAATACCCTATCATATATCGCTTTTAAATTATTCTCTCCCTCATCTGCTTCAATGCAGGATGAATGGGTTCTAACTGATTCCTCTGCCAGCCACCTTTGTTGTGGTCCATGACCCAGAAGCGTTTAAGTGATCTTGGGGAAGGGAAAGACTAGCCTCTTCAGGAAAAGTTGTGGTAAACATCTTTAAAAGACATTCCTCTTGCTTAAAGCTCTCTTGGCCACTGGTTAATAAGACTCTTTGAAGACACAAGAAAAAAGTTGACAATTTTATTAATCTTTTCCTATTATACACATTCTTTCCTTCTCTACTCCTTTTCTCTAGGGAGCTCTGGTGGCCTAGTAGCAAGAAGCTGTGCTGCAATCCCAAAGGCACATGGTTCGAGGCCACCAGCTGCTCCACAGGTAAAAAATGGGCAATCTCCTCCTTTATGATTACTTGCCTCTGAAAACCCACTGGAGGGTCAGAGACGGGTCAGTTCCGACTCTACAGTACACAACAACAACAATAACAGCTACTCTTTTCCTCTTTCCTTCAACAAGTCTACTCCTAGTTTCAGAGTTTTCCCATCAGGAAAACTTTTCGGTTCTCTCTTCAGTCCCTGAAGGTTGGACAGAGGTGATGTATGGAGCCCACAGTCCCTTTAGTAGAGGAGGACAGCATTTCGTCTGCAGACATAAACAATGAAATCGTTTCGGTCTGAGCCTAACAGTTGGGAAAAGGACCCCAATAGACTGGGATTCTTGGATCTTGAATGTTCTCACCACAGACCTGAAGACACATCAGCGCCGAAGACCCACTGGAATGCTTGCTCACCTATTTTCCACATCCTGGATGGTGTCAGGCAGAGGAGTATGTCTTGTCTCAGGAAAGAAGAAAACAGAAAAGCTAACAAGCATGGGGAAGACGCCATAGACGATCCAGGGCAGGTGGGGCATATAAACTGTAAGCAGCATCATGAGAGGAGCAATGCTTCCCCCAATCCTACCGGCCACTAAGATGACACCTACAGCTGTACCTCTGCAGGTAAAAAAAAACAACAACAAAAATGTGAACTACGCAAAGGGTCCGTTTTGTTTGTAGCATTCTAACCCGTCAATGAGCGATAACAGCATAGTTCTTGTTAAACGCTGTCTTGTTGTTAAGTGGAGCATGACTCATAGTCACTCTACGGACAAAAGATCTGAACCCTGTTCTATAATCATCATCATTTCTCTAAGCTCCTAGTTTCCAAAGGCATGTTGTTTAGAAAGTGGATGCCAATCCTGCTTCCAAGCCTGTTTTAATCTGGGAGCTCCACCAAACACTGTCCACTCTGCGTAACCATTACATTATCTGAGGCACCTGTGGCACAGTGTTTAGCATCACAACAACCCCAAGCAGTTCTTCCTAAACATAATTAACACCTGAGGGCCCAGCTGACTTTTATTTTTAAATACAAAAGCCTGCCCACCGGGTCCTGATTTACTTGAAAGTCAGTTGTAACCAATTAGGATGGTTTTTTTGTTGTTTTGTTTTCATTCCATTCACAATCGTGTGTGAGCTGATTGGATTTACTGATCTTAGCTAACAATCAACTGTGGGCTGGAAGCCTCTTGTTTCAGTCAATCAGGACCTGGTGGGCGGGCCTTCATATTTAAAAGTTCGTTATGCTCTAAGTCTCCAGTTTGGAAGCTCATGTGTAGAGCAGTTGGATTCTGGAAGGTAGGCTCTCTTGTTTAAGTTAAAAGTTGGATGTAAAATGTTTGGCTGAGCATAGTTCTTAGAAACAAAAAAAAACTGAGGACAAATACTTGGTTTTGAGATTTTTCTTCAGGCATTTCCAAGGTGCTTACCATTTGTAGAGTCCTTCACTGGCATGAAGGAGTCCTGCTGACACAGAGGTTAAAACAATTGGCTGCTGATGTCAAAATTGGTGGTTTGAACCTACCACCCACTCCAGTTCACTACCATAAAGATTCACAGCCTCAGAAACCCTGTAGAGCAGTGCTATTCTGCCCTATCGGATCCCTGTGATTTCTACAACTGACTCAACATCAGTGGTTTTAATTGTGCTGAGCTTTAGAATTTCACCTTTAAATTAATGCAACCTTTAATCTCTAACTGAGGAGCCCTAGTGCTGAAGAGCAACATTGTCAGTCTAGAAACTACGGTGCACCTGATCCAGGACCTGGTCTTCACAATTACTTTCTATGGCATCAGTGAGTTGGACAATAACTAAGGATGATAGAAGAATTGATGCCTTTGAGTTGTGATGGTGGAGAAGAATATTGAATACACCATGGATCACCAGAAGAACAATTAGGTTTGTCTTAGAGAGGCTGAAACCAAGTTTCTCCTGGGAGGCTACAATTTTAAAGCTCTGTCTCACATACTTCAGGCATGGGACCAGGAGGGACCAGTCCTTGGAGAAGGGCATCATGCTTGGTAGGGCAGAGGGACAGCATGGGAGAGGAAGGCCCAGAATGAGATGGATTGACACAGTAGCTACAGCAATGGTGTTCGGTGTGCTAGAGTCAGTGAGACTGGCCCAGGACAGGGCAGGCTTCAGAATTATTGTACACAGGGTCATGATGAGTCATGGGGGATTCAATGGCACATAACAACAACAGCGGTTCAAATCTACCAGTTGCTCTGCAGGAGAAAGATGGGCAATCTCCTCCTATACAATTTACTGCCTCTGAAAACCCACTGAAAGATCAGCTATGGGCCAGTTCCAAATCAATGGTACACAACAACAATGGCCCTATGGCTAAGGTATTTGGCTGTTAACACGTTGCCACAAATGACGGTAATACATGGGGGGGGGGGGGATCTGTTTCTAAGCACGGTCGTCAATTTAAAAGTGTGCGGCAACGTGTTAACCAAAAGATCATTGATTCTAACCCACCAGGCACTCTGTGGGAGCAAAATAAGGCAAACTGCTTCCATAAAGATTCACGTCCTCAGAAGCCGCACAGGGAGGTTGTAGCCTGTCCCCACAGGGCCACTGTGATCCAGAATCCGTGCAGTGGGTGGCGTTCCGTTTCAGCACCTGACTTACAGAGTTATCCTGCCCATTATGTGATAAGACAATAAAAGGATAAACAGCGTGCCCAGCATAGAGAGTTTTTAATGAACATTTGGTTGTTGCCTGCTGTATTAATAGTAGAATTTTGTGTGTTTTTGTTGTTGTTGTTGGGGGTTTTTGGTGCCATCAAGTCATTTCCAATTCATTGCCAATGTTGTTTACAACTGAGTTAGAGCCAACCCACAGTTGACCCTCCAGTGGGTTTTCAGAGGCCATAAAACTACAGTTGGTGGATCCAAACTGTGTATCTTTGGATTGGCAGTACAATTCCTCACCACTTAACCACTGGAGCTCCTGAACTCATAATTAAAACATAGGTCTTCTTGACTGTGATGTTTAGGGAAGCAGATTGTCAGACCTTTCTCCCATGGAATGGCTAGGTGGGTTTGAACTGCCAAACTTATGCTTAGCAGCCATGCTTGTAAAGGTTGCACTACAAAGGCTCCCGACAGCTGTTGTTAGGTGTCATTGAGTTGATTCAGAATCATAGCAACCCTATATTACAACAGAACAAAATAATGCACCAATTGGTGCTATATTTGAGCCCATCATTGCAGCCACTGTGTCAACCCATCATTGAGGGTCCTTCAACTCCTCTCGTTGAAGGTCCTTCTCTTTCTCACGGACCCTCTGCTTCATGCAATGGTGACGTCCTTCCTTTTTGAGGGGATTGCCTAACAACATGCAGTAGCATTAGTGTCGTTTATTTTTATTTCTTTTTTTCTAGTATAATATATTATCCTCTAGTGTTAGACATCTCTTGGCAGACAAATAACTTCTTTGGTTCTCTCAGTTCCCATAATGTCTTTTACCTGAGCACAGTGGGCATGAGTTCAGAGCGGAGAACAACAATCGTCATGGAAGAAGCTGAAACTGTAAAGATTCCTAAAGCTGCCAAGATCACTCGCAGCGTCTTCATTTCTGAAGAAAGAACAAGCAGAGAGAAACAGAAAAACTAAGTAGAAAAATTCAGATTAAGGGGGAAGTACTAGATCGATGAGCTGTCCCAAGAATGAAAAATATTGTAGACAAATCCACAACAGCGGAGAATAAGGGATTGTTGATGAGCTGAAAAACCACAATTTGTCAACCACACTCGAGCATAATCAGGGATAAATACATCTAAATTCCTTGCACCAACTCTCCCCGACCATCTATCTACCCATTATCCATGAAGATCTATCCAGTGAAGAAGAATATGGCAGAAATTGGTTCTAGTTCACGCTGCCATGTTTCTTCTATACACTGGTTTGTTGTTGTTGTTAAGTGCCGTTGAGTCATAGGTGACTCATAGCGATCCTATGAACGAAAGTCCTCGACACCTGCGTGCATGATTTTCATCCTTTCTCCAGGTTCAGAGGGTTTCCAGAGACAAGCTATTTAAGGAAGTGGATGCTACTCCTGCTTCCAAACATACTGGCTCAGCATGTGAAAATATCACGTGAGTGACAACTGCCCAGGAAATAACTCTGTCCTGTCTTTGGGGACTTTACAATTTTAGGGCAAAGGCACTCTATAGTTAGGGAAGGTTATGCATTAGTTAATATCAGGAAATAACTCTTTGGAGGACAAGAAAAAGATCAAGAGAAGCAAGAAAAAGAATTCAAGAGTAAATAATCAAAACTAAGCACTATGAAAAAAAGCAATTAAGCACTATGTTTTGAGAAATGTCAAATGTGGAGACCACTGAATGGGTTATTTAAAGATGTGATTTTCTAAACAATGTTCAAAAATATATCATAGTGTGTCTTTCCGGTAAAGAAATACATTCTGCGTTAATCTATAAAACTGTCTCATGACCTATTCAAAGGAAAGGGTTTTTTTTTTTAACTGCTCTACTATTGACTCCTTCCCCCCCACACACACACACACACTACAACATTCATTTTCTTTTTCTAAAGGCCCATATTGCAAACATTAAGCCATGGATGAGTTTCATCTTGTGATCCCAAATTCACATATTTAAGAAGAGGAAAGCAAAGTGTGAGTCACGTGCATGGACCATAACTAAAATCTCATGTTAATCACATGGTAGGTTTTAAACTTCTATAGCTTAGGATTTAAATGTCACAGGTCTTTGAGGTCCTTTGGGATGCCCCACAGAGCGTCCACACTCTTTGTGAGTTGAGCCTTCTCAGCATTCTTCAGTTTCTGGCTGATGACGCTGGTTAACCCTGGAGAATTCAGAACGTAAGAGTCAGGAAGATTTCCTTCTCGAGGCCATATATATCCCCTACACTGAAGCTGGGTGAATCCTGGATAGATTTTTCAACATCAGCTCGGCCACATTTAGTCAAATAGCCCAGCTGGTGTATCTTTCGAGTTTATTGACTTCATAAGCATTTCCAATCACCATTGTATGCACTTCCTTCCAGATCCCATTGCCATTGTCCACCTCCATCTCTGGATTCAGTTCCTAGAGAGAAACTCCTGCCACATCCAGATCACTCCACGTTGCCACACTTGAGTCACCACGCTCTTCCAAAATCCATCCATGGCAGCTGCTGGGACGAATGCCAAGTTTTTCAGCCATAAAACAGCGATTCAAGCAGAATGTAGGTTTCACCCATTCCCAATCACACAGTGCTTGGGAAACCCACTTAGTTTCCAGGTGTGTAAGGTATGTGAGTATGTAACACTACCCGCTGGGTTGGAAACCACAATTATAATGCAGGCGAGACTGTAAGTGCTAATCTGAGGAAAAATGAATTTGAAGAGACTAACATTCCTCTGCACCAGATTGAGTCAACTCCCTCCCTCTTGTTGACGGACTCCAGCAGTTACCCCCACAGTCTTAGGACTGGTTGCCAGAGAATAATTTTTATCTGCTACGATTTTCGTTGACTGCAGGAATAAGCTCCCAAGTCATAGATCCATCATTTCTCCCCAAGGGCACAGTCATCAGCCGGCGACTTTCTCAGAACGCTGACAGTAACAATGCCATCCCAACTTGTCTAACACCTACTACACTGCTCTGTTTGGAATTGCGGCCTCCTCTTCTGCAACTCGTACAATCAGTTTTTCCTTGACAGTTGCCGTCATGCACAGGAGAGAGACGGCGCTCCAAAAGGTAGCAACAAAAATGCCAGGAAGCCAGTGTGAGCTGCACAGGCCTCCTCTGGCACAGGATCTGTCCCATTGACTCCTTTTGTATATGATGTCCTCATGTAAACTTTTGGGCATCCAATCAGGGAGGTTTATTGCACTCAGAAAGACTTTTATAAGTCAGTTTGCCTTCACGGTACCTTAATATCATATTCTTAAGTAGATGCACTTATATAAAGTGATAGGACACTATTCAATTCACACATATGAAAGAACTGTTGATACAACTATTATTCAAACACACATACCAACAACTAAGCCAAAGATGAGGTAATTAATGGTTTCTACAACCAAAGTCAAAGACTTGGAGCATTTCTACCAATCTCTTCAGTATGAAAATGATAGAACATGAAGTCAAGATTCATTAACAATAATTAGCAACCGGAAAGCAAAAGCTGGAAACAAGGAAGAAGGACTGATAGTTGGAAATCACAAGCTTGGAGACAGAAATGAGGCCACAGCTAGAATGACTGGATTCTGTACAATTACTTATTTCTTACAAATACCATTTTTTTCAAAACACAAGCAATGACTATACACATAGGCCTCATCTGACGGACTGCACAGGAATCAGATTGACTACAGTGTGGGAAGAATCTGGAGAACTCAGTATCAGCAGTCAAAACCAGGTCCGATGCTGATTGTGGAACAGACTACCAATTGCTCGTGTGCAAATTCAAATTGAGGCTGACGAAGCTGAAAACAAGTCCACAAAAACCAAAGTATGAGTTTGAGTCTATCCCACCTGAAATTTAAAATCAGCTCCAGAGTAGGTTTGAGGCGTTGAACACTAATGATCAAAGACCAGATGAGCTGTGGAATGGCATCAAAGATATCATCCAAAGAAACGCAGAAGTTCTAACAAAGGCAAGGGCAAGAGAAAAGACCAAAATGGATGTCACAAGAGACTCTGAAAATTGCCCTGGAGTGTCAAGAGGACAAAACTACTAAAGGGAGGATTGCTGAGGTGAGAGAGATGAAGAAAAGATTTCAAAGGGCAGCTTGAGCAGACAATGTATTATGACAATACATGCAAAGAGTTGGAGTTAGAAAACAAAAAGGAAATATTTACTTAGCATTCCTCAAGCTGAAAGAACTGAAAAACAAATCTAACCCTCCAGTTGCATTACTGAAGGATGTCATAGGCAAAAGCCTGCAAGGTCTAAGAAGCATCAAAAGAAGATGGAAAGAATATACAGTCACTATACCAAAAAGAATTGCTTGACAAGAAACCATTTTGGGAAGTAGCAAATGATCAATGATGACGAAGGAATACGTTCGAGCTGCATTGAAGGCACTGGTGAAAAATAATGCCTCAGGAAGTGATGAGGTATCAACTGAATGTGTTTCCACACACAGTCGCAGGCCTGAATGTGTTCACCAGGCTATGCCAGAAAATTTGGAGGACAATTACCTGGCCAAAAGACTGGAGGAAATCTATATTTGTGCTCTTTGCCAAAATAGGTAACCTGACAGAATGTGGAAACTATCAAACAATATCTCTCATACACATGCAAGTAAAATCTTGCTAAAGATTATTCAAAAATGGCTAGACTATGACATGAACAGAGTAGTGTCAGAAATTCAGGCTGGATTTAGCAGAGGCTCTGGCACCAAGGATGTCATTGTTGGTGCAGATAGATCTTGGCTGGAAGCAAGGAGAGCCAGAAAAACGTCTACTTGTGCTTTATTGACTAGGCAAAGGCATTTCACCATGTGGATCACAACAGACTGTGGATAACATTGAGAAGAATGTGATTCCAAAAACACCTCCTTGTGCCCATGCAATACTTACACCTAGATGAACAAGTTGTTTTCTGAACAGAGCAGGGCAACACCACATTACTTAAAAATCAAACAAGATGTGTATTAGGATTGTATCCTCTCTCCATACTTGTTTCATCTCTATACCGAATAAATCATTTGAGAAGCTGGACTTTATGAAGAACACTGTGGCATCAGGATTGGAGGAATATTCAGCAACATGCATTGTGCAAATGACACAACCTTGCTTACTGAAAGCGAGGAGGACTTGATGCACTTGTTTCAAAATATCAAGGACTACAACCTTCAGTATGGATTATATCTCAATACCAAGGAAACAAAAATCCTCACGATTGAGCCAATAGGCAGCATCATGATAGATACTGAAAAGATAGGAATTTTCAACTATTTAATCTTACTTGGATCCACAATCCAATTACCTTGGTATCAACAGCCAGGAAATTAAAACACATGTTGCATTAAGCAAGTCTGCAGTCAGAGTCTTCTCCAAAGTGCTAATGCACAAGAATGTCAGTTTCAAGACTAAGGTGTACCTGATTCAGGTCATGGTCTGAAAGCTGGACAATGAATAAGGATGCCCTGTCCAATGTGATTGAGAGAACTACCTTTCTGAGTATTCCCTTGTTGACCTTTGATTGCTTTTTAAAAAATAATTAAAAAAAAAGAAATGACCTTTGATTCTTGTACCTATCAACAACTAGCAAAATAAATAGCAAACATAAAAGCCCAAAGCCCTCATCTTGGATTCAGTCAGGGATTTTACAGTCCCCACAAGAGAGCTCTGGTGGCCTAGTGGTAAGAAGCTATGCTGCAATCCCAAAGGCCCACAGTTCTTATCCACCAGCTGCTCTGCAGGAGAAGGATAGGCAGTCTCCTCCCGTTAGAGTAACTGCCTCTGAAAGCCCACTAGAGGGTCAGCGATGGGTCAGTTCTGACATAACAGTATACAACGACAACATAGTCCCCAAAAGGCACTTCCTTTTTCCCAACATGCAAGAAAGTACAAACCATGTTAACCTTGAGGAATGGAAAGAGGTCATTCTCCTTCCTTAAGGTCCAGTCTTCTCTCACCTTGGGTCACAAATGTGATGATCAAGAGCAGAATCATAAGTCCACTCAGGAACATGAACATTAGCTGGCTTATCCGACGCCCTATATGATTCAGTGCCCAAAAGGCAATGCATCTGGCTGGGAGGGTAACAGCTCCAAAGACAACCTGGTACAAGGCAATATTGTTCCCCAAGTGCTGCAGGTTGAGGGCAATGCCATAATAGGACAAACTAGTCACAAATCTGTGGAGTAAAGAAATACAAATACACAAGACAACTATGAGATATCATCTCATCCCAGAAAGAATAGCAAAATTTAACAGAGCCACAAACAACAAATTCTGGCGAGGTTGTGGAGAAACTGGAACCCTTATTCACTGTTGGTAGGAGTATAAAACGGTGCAACCATTATGGAAGGCAGTACGACGCTTTCTCAAAAAGCTGCAAATAGACATTGCATTTGACCCAGCATTTCCACTACTGGGAAAATACTCCAAAGAAACCAGAAGTGCCACCCAAGCAGATATATGCACATCCATTTTTTAATTGCTGCTTTGTTCACAATAGCAAAGAGTTGGAAACAACCCCAGTATCCATCTATAAACAAATGGCTAGAAAAGCTGTGGTATGTTCATGTAATGGAATATTATGCAGCCCTGAAAAACAAAGAGCTCATGAAATATTATACAAGATGGGTTACCTTGGAGGACATTATGCTGAGTGAAATATCTCAGTCACAAAAAGACAAATACTGTATAATGCCACTGTCATAAACAGGACTGACATGGGGGTTGGGAAGAAACTAAGAAAAGAGGCGATAAATAATGTGCATGGCATTGAAATAGATAAGGGGGAGAACTGTATAAAAGGAATGTATGATTAGGTATTAGTGTCATGACTAGAGTCCAGAATAAGAGTTACATAGTAAAGTGGTTGGGGAGGGGAACTGTATAACAATGAAAGAACTTTTTTCCCAAAAAAGAAAACGAACTGGGGAGGAGGGTGGACAGGGAGGAAAATGTGCAACAGTCAATGAATGGAAATCGAAGTTCTTTATAAACTTTCATTAAAATCTAAAAAAAAAAGAAAGAAAGAAATACAAATACAGTCATTGAGAACAACGTCCTGCCAGACATGGCAACGTTGACCTTCACAGACGATGGTCTTTGCTAAAGAATAAAGTCTGGGTTTTGGGTCCAGACACACTAGGTTCAATTCATTCCAATGTATTCTTTCCAAAAATTAAACAAAAAACCTTGGAAGAAATACTTTCTCAGAAGACTCTGAAAAGTGAAGAAAGAAAGACAGCAAACTCACTACGGTTTTCAGAACTTAAGGAATGACGTCATTTTTCTCTCTCTACTTCTGTCAATCCTCTTCAACTCCATAGTAGGTCAGGGGTTTTGTGGATAGAGAAGGAGCTGGTTTGGGGTTATGCTGAGCTTTTTGGGGGGAGGTTAGGTCTGTTGGGGGTATTTTTGCTTTCTATATATCTTAATCCAGGCTTACAAAACCTGTACCCACAAACACATACCAATGTGTATAGACATGCTTTTAAAGGCTCAAGAAAATCCTGCTCTCTCATGTCAAATGACCAGGAAAGAGCCTGATCCAGCAGGAAGGCAACTTTTAACCCCGCCTAACACGTCCCAGAGGGAGCGCTAATGGCCTGGTGGTGAGAAGCTGCCCTGCAGCCCCAAAAGCATGAGGTTCAAATCCACCAATTGTGCAATGGGAGAAGGATGGACAATCTCCCGTCTTGCAATTGATTTACTGCCTCTGAAAACCCATCAGGTGGTTGACCATGAATTGGTTCCAACACAATAGCACACAACAACAATACTTTCCAGAGCTCTGGTGACCTGGTGATAAGAAGCTGCACTGTAATCCCAAAGGCACGGTTTGAATCCACAGTTGCTCCACGAGAGAAGGATGGGCAATGTCCTCCCGTGCAATTTACTGTCTCTGGAAACCCTCTGAGGGTCAGCTATGGGTCTGTTTGGACCAACGGTATACAACAACAACAACTCTTCCCGGATAAACATCACGACAAAAGCTGTACCCTTCACCTTATCCAAGAGGTGTAGCAGCAATCTGTGACTAGAGAGCCCCTTCTCTGACTCACCAATTCCCTCCCTGCAATGTGTTCAGGAAGGAACACCACCACCTCCAGCTGCATTCTGACTTGTGAAGCACTCAGCAGAAAGGAAGCAGCAGCCTCTGATTCTGCACCTCTGATTAGAACCTTCGTTACTAACCCTACCCTATAAAAAAGGCTGCATCCCTTCCCAGGCAAGCCCATCCATGGTACATCCCTAGTTTTTATTCTCACTCTACAGAAATAAAGCAGTAGCCATCCTGAGGACAGAGAAAAGCTCTGACTTCCATTCTGTCCAGCAGTAATGAGGGGACAGCCCTCCCCAGCTGAGTCAGTGGGGAGCCCTGCATTCCTTCCTCTCCACATAGGTTACAATTGCCAGAGACACTCTGAATCATGACGCTGTTGACTATTTTAACACGCAGGGGGATGCCCTTCTTCTGCCTCATCCTTTGTGCAGCAGAGATCTGTGGGTGGAGTCATATTCTGTGGACAGAGCACATGGTGCAAACGAGAAACACTGCAGAGTCTTTGGAAACTAAATTGGCATCTAAACCACAACAGAAACTGAAAGCAAGTGAGCCAGACTTGCATTCTGAACATAAGAGTGTTGAGTCGTTGTTGCTGGGTACTATCATGTCAGAACCGACCCATAGCTGACCCTCCAGTGGGTTTTCAGAGGCAGTTAATTGCGTGGAAGGAGATTGCCTCCTTCTCCTGCAAAGCAGCTCGTGGTTTTGAACCACATGTTTTGGGGATTGCAGCAAAGCTTCCTGCCACTAAGCCACCAGAATTCAGTATGTAATAAATTTTAATAATTTTAATTGTAGCAAGACTTATATTACTCAAAATGTCCAAGAGACTGTTAAAAATTTCTCATCACAAAAAGGTTTTGATCGAGAAAACACAACAAAAGCTAGCACTAAAATGATACAGGTGTAATTATTAGAAAAGGATTCTATAAACAGTTATTGCTAAAAATAATACCAACAACAAGAAATTTCAGCAGAGAAATTGAAAATAAAAAGAAAAACCAAATGGATATTTTAGAACTGAAAAATCGGGTGACAAAAAATAAATAAACTCACTTGAAGAGGTATGTAGCAGAACAGAAATGATAGAATAAAACAAATCAATAGAAATTCTTACTCTGAGAATCAAACAAAGAAATAGAATTTTCAGAGCCTCAGGGATCTTTAGATCACCCTCACTCTCTAAATTTCCATTCAATGAGAATCCCAGAAGGAAAATAAAAATAGCAAAAGGTAGAAAAACTTTAATAAATTTAATAACACTTAAAAAATTTTACAAAACTTGGTGAAAAATATAATCTACTGATTTAAGAAACAGATTCAAACTCAAACAGAGCTTCAGTAACAATTGTTTAAAAATTTATATGAATTTTCTAAAACCAACATCTAAAGACCAAATGCAAAAATGTTAAAGTAATCCTTGACAAATGTTAAAGTGATCCTTAATGAACAAGAAAAGGGATACAAGAGAGAAAAACAAAAGTAACAAGCAGGAAACGGAAAATAAAAGAGCAACCTTCAATTGGAACATACGAAAAATTTCTATTACTAGAAATATTCTAAACATATCAATTAAAAGAGATCAGTAAAGTAGATTAAAACTATAACCAAACTATATGTTGTTTAAGAAATTAATTTCAAATACAATAAATAATAAAGGTAAATTCAGCAAGTTTAGGGGATTCAAAATCAAAACATGAAAATCTAGGGGTCAGTCCAATAAAAATAGACCATGCTTTGTAAAGCAGAGCGTCGACAGAAGAGGTACATACACCTTCAATGAGACGGACTGACTCAGCAGAGATTGTGAGGATGGTGCAGGACCAGCCAGCGTTTTCTTCTGCTACACACAGGATCTGAGATGATACAATGACATCTAACAATAACAGCGACATTTCTAAAATTTTTAATAAACAATATAAATAGGGAATAGCATAATTTCATTGACAATAGTATCAAAAAGAATAAATACTTAGGAATAAACTAAAAGGAGGTGAAAGACTTGTAAACTAAAAACTACAAGATCTTGCTGAAAGACATGAAAGAAGACCTAAATAAATGAATATACAAACCATTTTTCTATGCTGTTGTTGATCAGTGAATGAAGACTTACTATATTTTAAACGGCCTACTCTCCAAAATGATCAATTCAAATGTGTATAAAAAGGGTTGAATACAAAATTAATTTGCTTTGTACATGTTCACTCAAATCACAATTTTGTTAAAAAATACTTGACTTCTAAAAAAAAGTGTTCTATAAATTCAAGGTAATCTTTATCAAAATCCCAGCAATCTTTATGCAGAACTGGAAAAGCTGATGCTAGAATTCATATACAATTGCAAAAGACCCTACATAGTTTAAATTATTTTTAAAAGCAGGACGTTGTTGTTCTTATGTGTTGTCTAGTCACCTGCGACTCATAACAACCCTATGTAAACAGCCCTAAAACAGCCCTGCTCTATCCTGTGCCAGTCTTATTGTCTCTGACACACCCACCCTCATTGCCCCAGTGACTGAAGCAACCCATCTCATCGAGAGTCTTCCTCTCCTGCGCTGTCCCTCCACCCTCCCCAGCATAATGCCCCTCTCCAAGGACTGATCCCACCTTGCAACATGTCCGTAGTATGTCAGACAAAGCTTCAGAATCCTTGCCTCCAAGGAGCAGCCTGGCTTCACCCTCTCCAGGAAGAACTTGTTTGTTCTCCTAGCAGTCCATGGTATATTCAATAATCTTCTCTGACACCACAGCTCAAAGGCATCAATTCTCCTTCTACCATCCCTAGTCATTGTCCAGCTCTCTGATGTATAACAAGTGATTGCAAAGACCATGGCCAGTATCAGGGATACCTTAGTCTCCACACTGACATTGTTGCTCTTCAGTACTTTGGAGAGGTCTCTGACAGCAGACTTTCCCAAAGCAATTTGTCTTTTATTTCCTGGCTGCTGGTACCAAGAGTGTTGCTTATAGAACTAAGCAAACTGAAGCTGTCAACAATCTCAATCTTCACCATCCATCATGATGCTGCCAGTTGGATTACGATGGAAAATTCCCACTTCCTTAAAAAAGTTTCTTCTTGTTGTGCACTGCTGAGTCAGTAGTGACCTACAGCTG